AAACAAAATTGACAGCTAAACTTTCACCCATAAAGTCTAAGCCATCAAAAAAGTATAATAAATAGGTAATTCCCTTCAAGAAAATATCTGGCCTTCAGTGATAATTCAAGGAAGAAGGTGCCATAATTATGGAATAAAGCTTACCAAAATAGTTCAAGAACTTGCAATAATAGTGCAATTTTAAACCCTTGTAAATTCAGTAGAATTTACTTTAAGGCTCATTAATCTCATACATCTCAATTAGAATGGTAGACACCATATTTCATTTTGATGATGTTAAAATAACTTACTGCTCACTAGAACTTGCAAATAAGCTATTTCCAAATATGCAGGAGCTCCTACTGAGCATAACATCTCAACTTATTAAAGCAGCTATGTCTTTTCCACTTGATATTCATAATTGCTCTTGGCTGTCTTTACATAAATGTGCATACACAGAATCTGTGTTTTATTTGAATTAGTTGTGTTGGTAAATGAAGACTGGTAAAACAGAGCTTCCAAAGCAACGGTCCATGCCCAGAGCAGATCCTGGAGAATTTGCCAGCTGAAGGACTTAACATACTAAAAACACAGGATTGCTATGTGGTTAGGACTAGCCATTCCTGTTGTACAAGCATTACAGTTGCATAATACTTTGCCATAGTGTGCTTTAAATTGCTTTTCGTTAGAGCTGTTTTTTTTTAAATGTAAAAAGTTTTAAAACAAAAACAATATGGAATCCAAGGTTTCCTTTTTTTGAAAAGTGTGCTCTCTCTGCTCCACCAGCTCCAGCTAATTTGTGAGAAGGAAAAAAAGTAACCGGTGATTGCAATTAATACATTTTAAAAATATTTCCAATTTAATATGAGTATTCTATCTTCTATCATTTTTTTCTTTTTTATGTATGTATATTTCAGCATAACTCTGGAACGCCTTGAGCAATATCAACAAACTTGGTACACAGATGACTTACCCTCTAAAAACAAACACTGTGGGGATAAGACACGCCTAACAACCCTCTGTGTGTGTGTGTGTGTGTGTGTGTGTGTGTGTGTGTCTTAAAATGGCTTCTGCTATGGTAATGGCTTCACAGGGCTCCCTCTTGTGGAGGAATAGAAGAATTGTGACGCACGACAGTACAACAGTGTGAATCCAGACTACAAGATTTTCCTGTCTTAATACAGGATTGGGGTAAATAAATACCCGGGCAATGGCGGGTTATCGGCTAGTAATAGTATAAAAAGAACACTCAGAAGTACTGAAGGAAACTAAAACTTTCAGATATGTTCTTTAATTACATAATGGAGATTTTCTAGTATCAAAATAAATCACTTCTCAAGTGAAATGAAATTTAGGTTATCAGTCAAGCATTGATAAACTGGCTATAAGGTCAAGTTCTTAAATTTTTATTAGCCAACAAAGATAAAAATGTAATTTCTCATGGTCATCTTTGGTCAAAGCTGATAGTACCTATTCATCTGCCACAGTATTCCAAAATAGAATGCTAAGTTCCAAATACAGGAGCTGCCTTTATAATTATTTTGTGGAAAGGTGCCTGAGCCCCCGCTTCTGTGAACAAATTGCATTTATTGTATTGGGAGAGCTACATTTCAACAGATGTGAAGTAAACCTGGATAGGATAGTCATTCTTCTGGATAGAAAAAATGAAAATAACTGCACTTATGAAATATCTTCCCAACCAATTTGTATTAAAACATGTAAAACTTTTTTCCACACTATAGTAATACTTAAATTAGAAAAGGCATAAGTGCAGGAAGATAAATTTGTTACCCCCCTTTTTTTCCTAGTTCAGAATTCATGACAAATTTTACTTTCTATCTTCCCTTTTAGATTACTTTGCTGTATTTCAAAAGGCTAACAGGTAACTACTGCCATCAGCAGTAATTAAATAAAACTGCTTTCCAGAACCGAAACTGCCTCTAATACTTCATTTTGAAGTTTGCATATTTAAAATAAACTCCATATAAAAAATTTTAACACTACCTACAGCAGTTGATAAATCATTAAATTCCAGTTCTCACACTTTTACATCATAGTAATGAAATAGCAACGAAACCTACTCCTTACACTACATGGCATATTAAATGATCAAACATCTCATTTTAGTGCATTTTATACAAACTACAAAATGCAAGTTAAGTTTATGCATATGTCAGCTTTCTGTTATATCAGTTTCGTTCACACCTTACATTATACCAAATTATGATTGGTTTGGTTTTGGTTAACATTATTTAATCTTGCTGATGTAAGTATAAACCTGCTTTAAAACTTAGCACTGTATGTCAAAGTCACTGTGGCTTATTCAACAAACAAAGTGAATTTAGCCAATGTTGGTATTCTAATGTGCATGAATACATATTTGCAAGTAAATCTGCCCCCTAATACATAGACAAGAAAGTTCTTAATCTTCTATACTGGAAAAACCAAGGTGTGGAACAAGTCTCATAATGATGAATAAAGTGGCATGTTGATATGGATCTGTTGAAAAGCTCCACTGTATCATATAGCAAATCCTGGTGGATATATCAATATCTGATTTGCATTTTTCAGGTATCTGAAAAATACCTGGATGCCATATCAAATTACTCTTCAATTAAAGGGCCCATCTGGAAAATCCAAGTATTTGTATGTCCACTATGAACGTCTATGAACGATGTGCTGATCTTTGGTTATATTAGATTTTAATTGCTAAATCCAGGATGATCTTTGTTAACTAACAGACACTATAGTACTGTGTACAGTCAGACACCTGAAATCTAAACAGAAGGTAATGTTTAAAGTGCCAGCAATCCAATATGAGAAAAATTGTGAGAAAACTGGTCTGTGTATGCTACCAAAAGCTACAGTCCTGTGTCCCTTTTTTCAAAGCAGAACGTTATGTATCTTGAAATGCAAATCTATAATGACTAGAGTTAGAATGTACTTCTAAATGTATAAACAACATAGCTAGAAGCCTGCATCTTGGCATCTACAGCAGTCCTATTAAAGGTAAGCATTTGCAGAAACTGGTGTAATCTAAGAATTCTGATGATCAGATGACTTTCTGTCCTGCAAAAGCTCATTCTCTCTTTTGTTCCGACTTGTTGGTTGTGGCTATTTTGACAGTGCTGTAATCTCTTCTGTCTTCATCGCATCAGACAGAAAGCTCAGTTCATTGCATAAAGTCTCATATCTGTAAGCCATTCGAATCTGCGCAACATTTGTCTTTCTAATATCGTTTCCTTCTGGCCCTTCAGCACAGTAATTTAGACCTATGCATTTCTGTTTTTCCTAGAGAAACAGAGAGAAAAGAAGATACTATTTGAAAAAATGCTTTGATTTTTTTAAAAGGCATGTGAAATCCAGCAGACTGAATAATTTTAAAATGTGTCTCTTTAAGTGTAGTGCTTCCTCAACTGAAGGATGTGAAAGATGATCTCCACATAACAGCATTTTTGAAAAGAAAGATGTGGATTATTGAAAAAGAGGGAGGTGGGGGAGAGGGAAATAGAGTGTCTTTTTATCTGCTACCAAATTGATTAACATACAAAGATGGCTTGTAACTTCATGTAGCAGCTTCCTTAAGAAATAAGAAATCCTTTGCTCTCTAACAGGCATTTTATAATTTTATTCTCCAACAGTACACTAGATAATTAACTAGAGATCAGTGAAACACTACCTTCCCCAAACTATGCCTTCAAATATATTGGACCGAAACTCCCAAAATTCCCAGATAGCCTTTGATGAAGCTGGATGGGGATTCTGAGTAGTCTAACAGATCTGAAATGCAGTAAATTGGACAAATCTGATAGAAATCAAGGACACATTAAATCTATATGTAAACAATGGCACCTGTAGGAAGTGTGAAAAAAGTCAAGAGGGCAATCATGACTGTGTTCTTTGTTTGGGACTTTCTGACTTCCTCCCCCTCCCACAATGCCCCATCTGTAGATTCATGTCATCTTTTCTATTTCAAGTATTACAGTAGCAAAGGTGAATCAATGCTGTAAACAAAGCTCAAGGGATCAGAATTCAATCACTTCTATTCCACATATTCATCAAAACCATATCTCTTCAGCCTGGTTATTTGTCCTTTGAGGAAAAACACCATTAGAGAAAAAAATATAATTAGTTAAAATGTTCCTATTATGTGTGATGATCAGGTTCTCTGGTGGCTTTATAAATAAAAATAAAAATACAGTATATTAAGTGTACCACCTAGTTTGTTCCCTACATCTTCAAATGCCTGGTGCTTACAAGAACAAAGTAAATTTACCTTGTGTGACAAGCCACTTTGTAGTACACTGTTTCTTGCAATTTCACATAGGTCACAAGTACTCAGTTTCCATACTTGGGCTGCTATGGCATATTCCTCCATCAGTGCTTCCTTCAATTATATACACAAAAAATATATGATTTGCTATCAAATATATTTATGTATTTATTTTGCACCAACAATAGCCTCCTGAAAGCAAATGGACCATTTCTAGTAAAAGGAAACTTAATTTTGCAAAGCTCTTCTATTTTCTTCCTTAATTTTCTTCTTTCCTTGCTGTCCTCTATGTTCCCTGAAAACTTTCTCTAGGGCAGGGGTGTCAAACTGGCAGCCCGCAGGTCAGATGTGTCATGTGCAGGCCACGCCCACTCCAGCTCCACGAAGGGGAAGACATCGCGATACATCACGTGACGGCAACGTGACACTGCGAGTTTGACACCTGTGCTCTAGGATGTCACCAGAATAGTGGAAGCAGGACTAAGTATTCAGAGAAACAGAGAAAAATTGGTGAAATTTCATCTTTTCATCCTTTTATCAGCAGATGCCTCTCATCATACTTGGCAAGATCCAACTTTTATAGTTTCAGAGCTGGGTAGCCTGTTGAGAGTGGTGGAAACTCCAGCCATTACACAGTGAAATGTATTTCTGCAAGCACCCTTCTTTATGAAAATTGGTCATTTTCCTTCTTAGATTTTCATGGATTGATAATACTCAAACCAGACAACACATTCACACGTACACCCCATAGTCCAGCTACAGGACTGGTGCTAATGACATCAACCTTGAAACATTTACGAGAAGCAGAAAACAAATGGGAAAGAAAACTGACTACAGCAGAAAGAAGTCCTGCAAAACTCAAACATTCTAGTTTTTAATGGTGAAATGACATGAAAGAAAGGACTTAGGAGATTGGAGTCCATTCTCCATGCTTCAGTACCCAGCAGATGGGAGAAGGGAGAATGGCTTGAGAAACAAAAGGCTTGTGAGCATTACAAGTGTTTCAGGATGCAACATTTAGGATTCAAACACAGTAAATGATTAAACTGTGAATAGAATTCTATGCCCTCCTAAATGAAGTGAAATGACAACTGAAAGCTATTGCTTTCGAATAAATAAATAAGATTGGAGAGTTGCTGCTGAATTTAATAAGAAAACATTTAAATTAACATGGTTTCAGATGGAAATAAAACTTTTAAATTGCTTTCATGCAAATTACCTTGGTATAGTGGAATTGCATGGGGTCATCTGTGGACAGAGAAACACGCAGTCCCTTGTGCAAGAATTCTCGGAGTGGGTTTTTTGAATACTCCAGGAATAAGCTGTTGTTGCTAAGAGGAGACATGGCAATGGGGATTTGTGCAAGATAATAAAGATACTGGAGAACTGGACTCTGTACAAAAACAACACCCAAAATCATTATTCATTCACGCAGAGATAACAGGAAAGGAAACATTCAGCCAGAGGAAATGGAAAACCATTTTTACAGCTTGGGAAACTTTAACTGACCCTGGCCCTCTGGCACTATACAAGTTGAGTTATTATATATACACAACTATACACCTTTATTTTGCATTGCATTGATGTATTGTTTTTTAAAAATGCATTTTTACAATGGAAAATTAAACAGAGATTTGAGAGGTTAAAACACATTATTGCATTAGCTGAAGTGGGAAATAAAAGGTTTTTTTGCCGTCAGTGGTGATTGAATTGTGCCTTTAGTACAAGCTACCGCTTCAAAAATCAGCTTTTGATCTTCCTGTTCAATCCATTTATCAACAAGCAACCAGAACACTGTTGCAGTTACATGTTTATCGTTTGAAATACAACTGTCTGGAAAAAGCCCTTAAGGAAGCTCATGTTTGCTGTCCAATAAAATAGAATATTTCTCAATTAGAACAGCTTGTGTCAGAATTATATTGAAATCTGCCACCTGGTGGAGAACTGCTTCACAAACCCAAACCCAACTCAAAGTTAAGCTTTTTATAAATCCCGTTGATGTCAACCAGTAAATATGCCCTTAAGCTTCCCATTTGTAGTAATCAGACACATACATTCTTTCAGCAATAAGCCCACATGAGTTTAGTCAGGACGGTCCTATGAGAGTTATACAGGCTTGGGGACCTGGCATGCTTTCCCTAAGAACCGCATCTAGTAGCCTTGTGATTCCTTTAAGGAAGGGGCTTCCAACCTTAGCAACTTTAAGACTTGTGGACTTCAACTCCCAGAGTTCCTCCGCCAGCTTTATTTGTGTATAGCTTTGCTGGCTGAGGAATTCTGAGAGTTGAAGTCCACCAGTCTTAAAGTTGCCAAGGTTGGAGGCCCCTACTTTAAGGTCTTTTTAAAAAGGCAACAATCCTAAAATGCAGAGCAGTATGACATACAGATAATAAACATCTTTCTTTGTGTATAGCAAACCTTAAGATGGAGATCTATAGATCCCATACACTGCCATGGTGTATACAGGTAGTCCTCAAGTTATATCCATCCATTTAACAATCCTTCAAAATATGTTCACAGTGAAGAAAGTGACTTCATATTTACAGTCATTGTAATGTTTCCAGGCAAGTGACCAAAATTCAAGCGCTTGGCCATTAGCATGTATTTATGATGTTGCAGTGACTCAGGTTAAGTGATTGCCATTTGCAATCTTCCCAGGGGGCTTCGGACCAGAAAAGTCCATGGGGAAAGCGAGATTTGCTTAAAGACTGCACGATTTGCTTAAGAACCATATGATTTGCTTAATTGACTCACTTAATGGCTGCATTATTTAGGAATAGAAGGTCTGGTCCCAACCATGTTCATAAGTAGAGGACTATCTGTATAAGTATCATAAATTATTCCCAGTTGCAGGAACTGGGAATGTCTAGTCTAATGAAAAGAAGGACTAGGGGAGACATGATAGCAGTGTTTCAGTATCTCAGGGGCTGCCACAAAGAAGAGAGAATCAAGCTATTTTCCAAAGCACCTGAGGGCAGGACAAGAAACAATGGGTAGAAACTAATCAAGGAGAGAAGCAATTTAGAACTAAGGAGAAATTTCCTGACAGTTAGAACAATTAATCAGTGGAACAACTTGCCTCCAGAAGTTGTGAATGCTCCAACAAGGAAGTTTTTAAAAAGATGTTAGATAAGCATTTGTCTGAAGTGGTGTAGGGTTTCCTGCCTAGGCAGGGGATTGACTAGAAGATGTCCATGGTCCCTTCCAACTATTCTATTCTATTCTATTCTATTCTATTCTATTCTATTCTATTCTATTCTATTCTTCTATTCTATTCTATTCTATTCTATTCTATTCTATTCTATTCCATTCCATTCCATTCCATATTAAACTCTATTAGAGTTTTTCAGTGATCTGATGACTCCCAAAGGTATGAGTTCAGTTTCAGAAGTCCCAGACAATTCTAGGAGCAGAAGTCATTTGTCAGAATGATAAACAACAGAGTGGTGGAGGCTGCAGTAGAACCATTACTATACCTTTTTTAGGAGCAATCCATGGGAAATATTGTCTGCAGTTAGAAAGGAGGACACCAGGTGAGTTATTGATCCAGCTTCTCCACAATGAGGTCTAAACAAGAAGGTGCTCATGCCTCTCTCCCTATAAACAATTTAAAATGCAATTAGCATCATACCCGACCATTCAGAAACCCCAAGACCAATCATAATGATACATCTTAAAATGGCTGCTGGAAGTGCAAAAAATATGCATCTGTGACAATGGGCCACTGATGGGCAGCAATATGTACAGTATATTAAATTATTCCGAGGTAAGTCCCCCTTCCTCACAGCCTGGGTAGCCCCTAAGCTAGCCTGACTTACAAACACTGTCATGTTAACTAAGAGGGTAGAAGGGGTTCAGTGGCTGCTGGGCTTCAGATTAAAAATGTTTTAGCTGAATCGTTCAAAGGTAAATCCTCTATTTCATTAGACAGGTATTTATGACTCAAATGACTCATTGCAGGATAATTCTGCCAGTAGGCTAGGTTTCGTGGCACCGACAGAGATTAAACTGCTTCAAATATATTGTGACCACAGCTTTGTCTCAATTCTTGAAACTTAGTTTTATTTTATTTCATATTATATTTTACCAAGACTTAAATGCTCCTCTCTAAACAGGCTGTATGTAGAAGACTTTGAAAGTCTTGTTTGCTTTGTTTTCTCATTTTAAATGTCTTAATTTCACCCTTTCTCTCCAGTTGCATACAACTGAAGTCAATCTAAATCGGCAGGCTGCACTGTGTTTGCAATCCGATTTTGTGCTTAATTGGTATGTGAGCAGATCTGTAAACAAACACCTGTGAGAGAATGAATAATCTGTATTCTTTTTTGTACAGATTACAGGTTTACTATGATAACTACAAATGGCTCCAGGCAAGGCAGAGAAATGTCACTTGTGTAGTCACGGACACAATTCTACAGATTGGTAATTACAACGTTAAGCACTCTGGCTGCAGAAGTAATGCTGAAAATTACTCTACGTATCCGCTGTCACAAATAATGCAGAAATTTGAGCTTCTGCTGATACCGCTTCATTGCTAAAGCTTATAAAAGTGATTTCATACAGAAATCACAAAAGAGATTAAAATGAAAATTAGAATGCATACTTCAAGTACTGATGATCTTCAGTCTGGAAAGTTATCTCCTCCTTACCTAACAAAAGGATGTTTGTGGAACAAAAAAAAAAAACCATGTTCTGCCTTGATGTTTCTCAGACTGTAATCAAAATCTCTCCATTTCCACCTAACCCCAGTTCTCCCATCAAACTCACAGGTGATACAAATCATAATCCAAGAACATCTAAGGATCTTTGGTTAAGAAAGACTTGTTCATCGAGTTATAAGATATCCTACTTTTTGTTTGTTCATCTACCTCCAAAAGATGATTAGCATCTGTAACGGAATTTATCATTAGGACAATTTATGCCTAATCCTAATGCCCAGAGCAGAATTTGTCAACCTGGAAATGTGCAGAACTCCAGCATGTCTTCATTGTATAATTAAGATAGGAGGCAAAATAAATTTTAAAAGGGAGAAGGGAGGTAAATTACATGCATTTTTGTTTATCTTACGAAACCATGATGTAAATATACTTTTCTACCAAACTTACAGAAACAGGGAAATAGAAATATTACTACTTACTTTCTAAGATTGTTGAGAACCATGATGTTTGCATACATATAATACAAATAATAGCTATATGGAGGATTTTTTCCACTAATCCAAGTATCAGGATGGGGGCTCCTTTCAGAGAACATGTGATCACTATGTTTTGATTCATCATCCACACTATCAAACCCTGTCACCTAAGAATTCAATAAAAACAGATTTTTGTATGAATAATGTATATATGCTTTTCTGAATTATCTAACTTAATTGCTACAAATTAAAATTTAAACTGCCGATGATCATAAGGTCCCAAATCCTTTTTGAAATATTTCTGGGAGTTAGATGACATATACATGATGGTGATAATGATGCAAGCCATTATGGGGTAACCATCATAAGGTGATTAATTTGCATCTCCATAATTAGGTATGAAGGCATCCTACTTTTGTTATTGTCCTTTACCATGTTGTTGGTACTACATAACCTAATGCTTTCTTAAAACTACTACACAAAATAATTTTTGATCGGTTATCTCTTGAAAATTAAATGAATGTTCACACATATATCCAAATGAATATAAGCATAAGCAAAAAGAAAGAGTGCACTGGATAATCTGGCACTATATTTTAGAATGCAGACTAAAATTGTTGGCACCATCTAGAGGCCAAAAGACACTGTTGTGTATTCAACGTTTCCGTAACAAGAATCAAAGCAGTTAAATATTTGTTCTTTTCTTTTATGTAAATTAAAATCTGAAGCTCTCATCACAGGAAAGATAGGAAGAAGGTAGTTTTCCTTAAATGTTATAAAATTCAGAACCAACAATCATGAACTACAATGATCCATTCTTCTAAATAAACAAACAAAATAGGAGTGTTGTGGTGAAGAATAACAGGCAGATAATCTAAAGTGGTAAAGGTGTTTTGTGGGAATCTGAGCTCTAACAACAAGAACTCACAACTCTGCTGTGTGATTCAAATGGAGGGGACTATGAGACTTGTATGCTGGGGCAATCAAAATTATGTTATCATGATTCCAATGAATGCACATATTTGAGTCTAAAGGCACTCCATTTCCAAGACTATTGAAAAATCTACTGAGGAAATAAATAAAAATATTGCCAAAATCCTAATAGTAATGCAAGATCAAAAATCAAACTTCACATAGAATCTTGTATGAATCACATTTAACACATTCCAGGCTTCACTTCTTAGTGAATATGTTAAGCTGGAGTCTTTGTAAATTGTCTGATTTTCCTTCTCTAATGTAGTACACACAGATATGAGTCCTAAGAATAAGAGCTGGGCATTAATCCTTTCAATTGAAGCAGGGAATCAATAGCTGGGTGAGAAAAGTATATATGTGTTGCTATGTTGCTGGTGCACTGAAGTTTACTAGAGCTGGCTGTTGCCTTTCTTAAGAAATTATGATGATGAATCTGGGCAATACTTCATTCCTGGACATCCCAATCTCCCTGAGGCTGTAACATATTTATTTTTCAAAAGATTAGATTTACTTATAAAATGTCCCCCTTTTCAAGTTGGATTTAGTTGCTGCTTCAAAGAGGGATAGTTATATTTAAATTAACTAGATCCAGACCTTCTATCTCAGGGATGTCCAACTCACGTCGTCACGCGATGTATCAGGACTTTTCCCCCCCTTTGGCCGTGGGTGTGGTCAATACGTGACGCATTCGGCCCACGAGCCGGGTGTTTGACAGCCCTATTCTATGTCCTGGCAATGTTTAATGGAGCTCTGCTGGTTCCCAGCTGCACAGTTTCAATTTGCACAGTCTATATACAAATATTTGTAGGGAGGCAAGAATAAGAAAGAAGAGTGGCATCTAGGTTTCCTAACCTTACTCTCTCATAATTTTTCAAACTTTTGACTGATATTCAAGCCAAATTAGATTAATACATTGAAAGTCTCTGGGTTGCTTGCAGAATACATGTGTGTGATATTTCACCTGATAGTTACTGATCTGTTATGTCCCTTTCATTTCAGGCCATAACTGAAAATCAAGTATATGTGGTTATACACATATATTCCATTGTAGCTGATGAATTTGATAGTATATCACTTGTTCACCTTGCAGGGGATTATTATTATAATTCTCCAAATCCGGGCAATTCTATAACAGAACAAGGTATTGCCCATTTTACAGACCCAGCAATAACCGATTAATTATAAATTCTGATTGGGATCAGTCAGTGGTAATTTCCCCCCAGGTCTTAGAAAGATGTAGAATTTGCTTCTGAGGGAAGATGGTACTAAATCTTCCAGGAATCTGAGCATGCTTGTTAAATAAAAAAGCAGGTGTTTGGTATCCTAGCACTTCTTCTCATCAGCAACACCTGTAGGGACTTTAAGCTGGAAGGAGTAGAGGAGCATTGCTTGTGCCAAATACTGGACTAACTGGTTCATCATCTGGGTTAACTGGTCCAATTTGCAACTTGCTGTGATATCTCAGCAAGATACTAGCAACCTATTTCAGGGTCACTGAGGCTACCAGACAACTTCTGCCTCAGCTTTCTTCCTTTAGAATTGGGAGTAATGAGATGGGGAATTTTCTGCCAAAGTTTCCTGCTAATAATTAAACTACTTACATTACAAATAATATTAAACAGTGTGTGGGTATAAGATGTATCTAAAGTGAGGTATAAAAAATTATTATAACCCCACCATATACAGAATGAAATATTTTGAGCCTATAGCTCTATATTTCCAAATTTAAATCCTGTAGCCAGAATAAGTGCCTTGATTAAAAAGCAATTCATATTGTATTTTGTAGGATTAACAGATATTTACAGAACAAATTTGTTCAGATTTTACTCTGTCTAGATATTTCCCCAATATCAATATTTTCTTTTATCATAAAATTACTTAAAAGATTATAATTATTTCTCATCCCCACTTTTAGATTTCCCATTCTGTTTGATATTAAGTAGTTAATTTTCTCAATTAACATGAGAATCCCAATTTATCATGCAGGGAGTTTGTTATTTGTAAATACTGAAACCAGACAAAGTTTCTTTCACCTGTCTAGACATCAATTTTAACTCTAGTCGGTAATTATTCATTTAATATCATACCATACTATAGATTCATATTTTTATTTCTCAGTTTAGAAAAGCACATTTCCATTTGTTGATACTGAACTCCTTATTTATTAAGATGCTAGCAGATTTAATTTGAGCTTAAAAATGTCTTCTTTTATGCCAGATTTTGAATTTTTTTAGAATTAATTCCTATTCAACCAAACTCTCCTTTACATCAAAAGGAGAGCCAGTTAATATACTCTATCCATCCAAACTGAAATATATGGGAAGAATTAAATTAACTGCACAGTCCCTCAGTAAATTAGAATAAGACAATTCTATTTTAACAATATATTCCAAAGCTCTATGCAAGGGATTGGTGCATTTTTCACTAAAAATCTTAGTTCGCTTTCCTCTATCTGGCTTTTAAGATTTCATGTTAGTGCCCAAACATTTTGAGCCTATTTTTGAAGGCTGAACTTGTTTCTGAAAACACATAAAAGAAGAATGCAGAGTGATACTAGATACTAGATACTAGAACAGTCAAATACTTACAAATTTAAGAAAAAGATGTAATTCTTTATGATCCAAGGGGTTGATGGTTGCTTCAAACAGAGGTAAGAATATGTTTTCCAGCATTTTCGCAAAGTTAGGCAGAATATTTTTTTCCTTAAATATATCACTGGGAGGAAAACAAATATTTGAATATTTTTATTGTGCTTACTTGGGATATGGTCTACTTCAGGAATAGGTATTCTTGTTCAAGCTTGCCTCTCCCTCAAAGATATCAGTTGAATTTTGGCTGCAAAAACCCCTAAGCAACTTTAGTTCAATCACTTTAAAGTACACAACAAAAAACCAAAATAATACTTGAATAATGTAACATGAAAATGCTCTGAATATTCTAGCTTTACCCTTCAAATGATATTATTATTTAATAACATATTATGATGTTACTGCTAACCATCTCTAATCTTTAATTTAAATTAATGGGAAAAATTGATAAAAGTGTACTTTTCATATCAATCCCATTCCTATGCAAACAGAGACCTTCAGCAAAATCCTAGGGTCATTTCTGCAAGACATTGCATATGGTTATTTATATACCATATTTATTAGATCAATTTTAGATAGCTGTCCAATCAAAGTACAGCTCAGAGCATCATACAAATTAAAAACATCAAATAGTAATAAAAACATTAAATAAAACATATTGGGCTAGAGACAATTTCAAAACAATCAGAAACAAGAAACAATCAACAAAACAATCAAGATAGGCACAAATCCTCCTATCTCTGTGCCTGGGGGTGGAAACAGTACGCAAGGTAAGGCGATCCAAATGTCATTGGGAAATCATAGGGGAAATGTAGCAACAGAGAAAGCACATCTCTTGGGTTCCTCAAGATGACATGGCTTAAGTAATGGAACTGGAACATGCCCAACCTGACAGATGTATCAGATACATAAAAGTAATTATAGATGGGGAGCTTCATATACAACCAATTCCTGTGCAACAAAAGGCTTTGTATGTAATAACTAACACCTTAGATTGCACCCTAAAGCCTACTTGCAACCAGTGCGATTCATGAAACTGTGATATTATATAGGAAAACCCAAATACTCCTATAACTATACATAGGACCAGCTAAACCTTCTCTATGATCTTTAAGGACAGGCCCATAGGGAGTGCATTGCAGTCATCCAAACAATAGGTCATCAAGGCTTGAGTGACCATGAGTAGGGCAGTAATGGATTATGGATAGGGCAGTAGGGCTGCACAAGGCAGATTTGTGCAAAGACTACCTGAGCCATAGCTGCCACTTGTCCTTTGAGCAAGAGCTATATTGGCAATCCCAAATTGCATCAACCTGCTTGTTCTCCGAAATTTCCTACATGAGTCATTTTTGCAATATTTGTGGAAGCAACTGAATAACAAGGGCAATTTAAATATAGGAAGGAAGAGAGTTTGGAGATGCATCTTTGCTTCCCGTGTACATTAGAGGTCATCAAATTATGCAAGTAACCTGCTAAGATGCTGCTAGTTTTGTGCTAATCTCCCAGGTTTAACATACCAGAAAGGAAGGGAAGGAGGAAGTAAGCCATACCATCTCTTCTAAAATGCAAACTTCCTGGTACCACCCATTTTAGAAATGCCATGTCACTGCCTTGCTTTCTTTAGTCCTTTTATCTCCCAAATCGTTGTGGTTTCCAAAGTATAGTCCTCAACAGTTTTTTAAAGCAACATATTTGGTTCTTACAGGCAAATTAATTGAAGCTGTTGAACTCTCCAGATGGCCTCACACAATATAGTGTGGTAACAGTCATGGTGCAAGATTATTTACTTAACCACATTGTGGTAAAATTTCCTCATTGTTGCAAGGGAAGTTCTTACTTCTTATACTTAAGGATATTTTAAACCTCAACTCTCTGTTAAAGAACTGGAAAAAAGAGACATGAAACTGTTTCCAATAATGTATTATTTATTATTTTACTTACTAGATTCTTGGGACCTGAATAATCCAGCGCATGTGAGGTGAATAAACTTTGTGCCTTATGAACCATTTAGCCAAATTCTGCCACTCATCTGCGGAACGCCCATAAATAGACAGCCGAGGTTCTGTGTACTGATATTTACTTTCTTCTAGTTCACGGGCAACTTCCTATTCAAAATAAGCCATTATTACTTTTCTGTTTAGAGCAAACACATTTCATCAAAAAGTCTTACATGCAGAGCCTAACTTAGAAACACACCTACTGACAATTAATCACAGTGCATTTTGTATTCAACACCTCAAATTCCCCAAGTGTTTACAGACCTAATGATGCCACTTAGGATAGTTTTTTAATTTTGCAAGTTATAGAATTCCCTGCCATATAATATTTACCACAGTGTTTGAAACTCTAAATACTTCAGCATTCTTCTGTTGCAGTGTCATGAAATGTAGAAATGTGAGCAATATGGGAAAGGCCTTTAAATTTGTTCCTATATATATATATATTTCTAAACTTTGTTAAGAAAGAATTAATCTCTCCACCATAGAAACCTAATTGGAAGAGGTGAAGAACTCATCTCTCTTAAACATGGATATCAGGGTTTTGCTGAAATCTGATTGGGGGGAGAGGAGGAACACAGACCATATTATTAGCTACAGATTTTGTATCCTGCTTAACATTCACCCCAATCATGAATCTATGAATGAAGAATTATTCCACCTGTATTACCAGATGACCACTAGATGGTGACAAGGAGATCCAGAAACTGCATTATATTGTTCCATACCAGAGGTCTCCAACTTTTAAGACTTTTGGACTTCAACTCCAAGAATTCTCCAGCCTTCTGGGAGTAAAAGTCCACAAGTCTTAAAGTACAAGTTTGAGGACCCCTGTTCTATACTCTGCATAACAAACCAAGTTAATAGTTGATTGCATCTGTAACTGTGAAACCACAGACCAAGCTTTTTGAGACTCGCAAATTCAATCAATGTGATCAGTGTTAACAATAAAAGTAAGCACCAGGACACGAAACTATACTGAGTACTTTCCATTACATTATCCAGGATCTATTTGTTGTTTGGCTACCTTTTAAAAAATCAGAATATATCATGATCTTCTAATCTAGTCATATCCTTGGTTTTTAAACAAGTCAGCATAATTCAGTATCCCTTATCAATAAAAGCACTTAAGTATAGGAAGATGCCATCAAGTCCTTCAATGTAGGAGTCCCATTTAAAGCATTCTGTATCAGAGGCATCCACAAAACCCAGTGCTTTCATCAAAATAACCAAAGCAGCCTTGAACCATTGCAACACAAGTCCATTCCTTTCACAGGTGCCTGCAATATCGTGATATGTGTATAAAAAGGGCAGAATTGTGTCGTGAGGTGTGATGCTACTTACCCCTCCTTGACTGTCCTTGCTGATGTATCTGTCCCAAAATAATGGCTATCCAATTCATCCAGGGCAGTAGTTCATTAGGTTAGGACACTAGGCTGATGATCAGCAGGCTCGTGTTCAAGACCCAGTTACTGCTGTGAGACGGGAGGAGCTCCCATCACACACTGTAGCTGCTGCCAACCCAACAGTTCAAAATCAAGCGACTGTGAGTAAATAAATGGGTAACCACTTCAGTGGACAATTTAATGGGGATATAAAAGGAATCCCCAACTTGCCATCCCCTGGGCAATGGTGATCTCGCTGTTCAACCCTAAAGAACTTTGGCACTCCCCACTTGATTGTAGTAGCAATATCCAGTGAAGGGGAATCCTCACCTCTTTGGATAATTGATTAGATCTAATCTTTTTTCCTGCATCAATTTGGACATGATACTCCTATTCTTCAGGCACAGTTGATGTGGTGCCTCCATGACCTGAACAAATAGGCATTGTAGGAAACCACCCCTCTCAGCAGTGCCTACCAACAACGAGCTGTAAAATTCAAAACCCATTAGCCACAAACCATATGGATTCCAATTAAGAGTAATAAAACACATGAGATTGAAGTCATCCCATCTTCGTTTTACTCTATACTCTTTCATTTTGTAATAAATGTCATCCTCATAATTAACAGCATCTCTGTTAATTAATATTAAACAGATATGCTGCTAATTATGTGAATTGAAATAGCATTCATGTAATTACTGTTATATTCAGTCTGGTTTTCCTAATGAAGTCAGGATGTCCAATTTTGTCTTCTAATTGCACTTACGAATGTCCACAAATTTATGCAAGAAAGCATTTCAGCAATCCATAATTCACAGAAAAAAGACATACATTTTCACTGTTGAAAATGAGATCTAAATGGGCTTAACCTCTAAAGACTAATATCAAAATAATTTTGAAGAACTGAACAGATTAGTCGGATATTTCAAATCATTTATTGGGTAATACTTTGCTTTGGGTAATACTTTTATACTAGAATAATATAAAATGGTGTATTATTTAAACTTTATAAACATTTTATGTATGATTTTTATATATTGCATGTATGTGTACATCATTTCCCTTTATTCAAATATTTACAGTAGATCAAGGATGTCCTTTGATTCCAATCCCATGCACATTAACCCTAATTTATGCACACAGAATGCAAAAATTAATTTATATTAATGCTTAATTGTATTTCTCTTTCAAATAAAAACATTTAAGAATAAAAACATTTAACATTTAAAAACATTTAAAATCCTTAGATATCCTCAGGTATCTAGAGATCAATACAATTGGATTAGAAAGCTTATTTTCATAATTAAAAATATTTCATTATTATCTACAACAATGGAAAAAATACGTGAGAAATTCATCAGTCAGAATAGTTCACATTAAGATATGCAGGTAAATGGTCTATGCAAGACACCAGCTGATGGCATATTTATAGGATTAAACTTTTGGAACAGAAATGTTCAGGAAAAAAATGACTTTAAAAAGCACTAATGGAAGACGGTCAAGGAGTGCATGATAATTTGGGCAAAAAATGTGGGCCACAGTATTGAATTAGATAAGTGGGAACATATTTGGGAAATAAATTACAAACTAACTTTGTCAGCCTCGTACAAAGAGAATCTCTATAAAATGGTGTATCATTGGCACTTGCCACCTGCAAGACTGGCTAAGATGTTCCCGAATCTCTCCCCAAACTGTTGGAAGTGTAACTGCATCCAGGGAACATACTTCCATATGTGGTGGACATGTCCATATGCTCAGAAGTTTTGGAAAAATATCAAAAATTGGATTCTAAATATAACTAAACAAGAAGTAAAACTTGAACCCAAAACCTTTTTGTTGGGTATGATAGACTCAAAAATAGAAAAAAAAATATCAATATTTAATCTTGCACATTATAACGGCAGCCAGAATAAGTTATGCTCAAAACTGGAAACTGTCTATTGTCCCTTCAGAGGAGATGGTCATTAAAAAAATTCACGAGTGTGCAGAGATGGACAGCCTAACCAAATTACTAAAAAAACAACAAAGACAGTGAATACTACAAAGTTTGGAACTGTTGGTACGAATGTTGGTTAAAGAAAAAGCACCATTTGACAACTGAATCAGTTATGAAACTATGAAGGACGTGCATTTAATTATAAAGTATTCTGTGAAATTAAAACATTAAAAGAACAAGGAGGGTATTGTAACAAGGTAGATCACGTCAATGTTATGGGGTAAAAGAAAAAAAGAAAAGAAAAATGTAACCAATGCTCAATACCTGCTGCAAAATGTATATATGCATATATATTTGTTTGTTTCTTTTTAAATGTTCTAAATATATGAAACTTAAATATATATATTTTTAAAAAAGCACTAATGGAAGAATTAGATAAAGCTTCAAAGCCTTGTAACAATGGACCAGTATCTAGGATGAATTATTATTCTGGTTTCTATACTGCTTCCTTCATAAATACTCTGAGCAGTTAATAACAAATGCATAGCAGAGTAAAAACAATGAATGTACAGTAACTGATATGCCACATATCTGGGGTAGATGGTCTTCATTTGAGTCCAAAGTGTTTCAAAAGAGGTACATTTTTACAGCTCTTTGAAAATATTATCAGGAAGGAGTGGTTTAAATATCAAGGGCTAGCTGCTCCCGAGTAGGACAGCCATCATAGGAAAAGCTTAACAATGGGGTCCCTGAAGATGGCATCCTCTCAGGGGTAAGTGAGTCTCCTTTTCCTGGAGAAATTCAACCCAGGGCGGACAATCTCAGACATATCCACAAAACCTTGAACTATGAAAGATTTAAAAGTGACATCTGAGACTTGAATTTCATCCAGAAATTGACTAGCAACCAATGCAGCTCCCACATTAGAGTTTTTACACAGGCAAATCAATTCAATACTGAAAAGTTGGGAAAGACTCAGGAAACTCAGTATGTTAAGAAAATCTAATGAAGGCATTAGATTGAGCAAAAAGGAATACAAGGGCCTTCAGAAAAACAAATATCTACATAAATTGAATTCTTGTTTCATTGTGTATATCTTTGGTTGTTAGCAACCTATTTAAAATGGTTACATGATGACATGTTCCTACAGAGCTTTCTGTCCATTGTAACTTCATGGCCTAAAATCTTTCAGAGCAGGTGTAACATCTCCTGATTTTATTCTACAAAAAGAACTCACATTCTAATTAGATTTACTGGATGGCTTTGGACCAGAACAAATAAATATATAATGCTCACGCTCTCTCAGCCCTAGGAAGAAGGCAATGGAAAGTCACTTCCGGAAAACTTGCCAAGAGTTCAGGGATGTATCTAGGGCAGGGGTGTCAAACTCAAGGCCCAAGGGCCAGATCCAGCCCGCAAGGTGCTTAGACCTGGCCAGGGGCTGCCCTGGAAACAGTGAAGGACAAGCCCATGGTGCCTCTGCTGGCGAAAATGGAGCTCATTTTCACTGGCACAGGGTTGGAGGAAGCCGTCACAGTCAAAAACAGAGCTCGGGAGCCCGTTTTCTCTGGCAGAACACTCGGGCCACTATAGGTGCGCTCGACATAAGAGATGTCGAGTTGGCCACACCCACCCTGGCCCACACAAGGTCAAACACAGCCCTGATGCGGCCCCCAATGAAATCAAATTTGACACACCTGGTCTAGGGCTAGGCAGTCACCAGGAATCAACATTAACTTGAAAGACACTCAAGCTAAGGCATGATTGGTTGAAAAGATGCTTACCTTCACCATCCGAGCAAAATATTCACCACCAAGATAGTTTTCTGTTTTCAAGTACAAGTCCCTCAACTCACTTGCACCTACAGGATTGTATTTGGAGTTAAATTTATCAAACCGGTGAAATGTCTGACGATCCTAAGAAAAGCAGGGGTTAAAATGTACATTTGTTATATTTTTAGATTTATATTATTGACCGCTGGATATTACTTTCAGTAACTCACATATTCATAATATGTTTTTTTTAAATACAAAATATGCATCTACAAAAAGGTAATTTGAGTTCAGACTATAACAACTAGCACAGTAAAAACATGAGTTTGTCAACCAAAAGTTTCTTTCTCTTTCCATGGTTGGGCAATTTAGGAAACCTTGATAATTATTCTGATGTGATCTTTATTTAAAATGAACTTACTGCATGGACATCTAGTGAGTCTACAGTGAGGTCATAGGGATCCATGTGTAGGCTTTCAAACACCTGCTTCAAAGTCAGCTTCTTGTCTTTTCTTTCCCCAACTATCCTGTTGGGTTCCGTTTGATAAGTGTGCTTAATGAACCTCAGTAGATGTTTCTGATTCATGCAAGCAGCAGCATGGATGTGGGTATCAACCTGAAATAATAAAAAAAAGTAGCAATTTTCCTCAGCTGAAGCTATTTTACTACTATCTCTGTGACACAAACTTAAGTTAAAGACATTACGGATAATAATTGAGTCTCAAATTTCTATCGCTAAGGAAAATAATTGTTAAGTAAGTTTTGTCCCATTTCTTGCCACAGATGTTAAGTGAATCACTGCAGTCATTAAGTTAGTAACACATTGTTAAGTGAATCTGGCTTCCCTATTGGCTCTGCTTGTTTGAGAGTCACAAAAGGTGATCGATCACATAATCCCATAATCTATTCCAAATGTCATGAGTCGGTGTCCGAATTTTGATCATGTGACCATGGAGATGCTGCAACAGTTGTAAGAGTGAAAAATGGTCATTAGTCACTTTTTTCAGTGCTGCTGTAACTTCAACAGTCACTAAATGAATGGCTATAAGTTGAGAATTACTTGCAGTTTGTTAATGTGCTACTGTAAATGTAATACTACAAAACATATTTTCATAGATATCAGACATTAGGTTAAGGTAAGAGAGATAATCTTGAATTCACCCAAAACTAGTCCTCTAATCAAACTGAATTATGTCACAATTCAGTCCACTTTGAGTGTTGGTGAAGGATCACACATTTCTTAGCTTTTAGGATAAGAAAGTTTCTAAATTAAAATGGAAGATTGGAAAGCATTTCTAAACAGTAAACAATTCTGCCTTTGAACAGAACGATTATAACATAAGAGTCCTACTTACTGTTTCGATGTGAAACTTAATGTGAAACTTAATAGCCTTGTGAATAACACTGTTATAGAACCCTGTCTTTTATTCCAATCTTTGGTCCATTAACAGAAGAAACTGGGCCTTTTCCACCTCATCTATTCCTTTGTAGCTCTGAAGGACTTTTGAATTGTGGCCAAAAGCAGCATCCATAGCAGCAGATGGGAATTATTGAAAACTAGAGATCAGATGATGATTAGAGGGTGCAGTGGCTCAGGGATTAAAGACATTGAGCTTGTCAGCTGGAAAGCCGATAGCCCAGGTTCAAGAGCCAAGTACTGCTGCCCACCTAGCAGTTCAAAAGCATGTAAACGCAAGTAGATCAATAGGTACTACTTCATTAGGAAGGTAACAACATTCTGTGTGCAGCTTATAGTCATACTAGTCATATGACCATGGAAATATCTTTGGAAAATGCTGGCTCCCTCAGCTAAGAAACAGAGATGAGCACCACCCTCTAGAGTTTGACAGAACTAGATGGGGAAACCTTTATTTTTACCTTTAAATGATTAATGATGATCAGATACATTTACTTATAAACCATTTTCCAGATATATTTACATGGAGTTGTATTTGGCTACCTATACATTTTTGTTCAATAGTTCTTCTCATGACATGTATATATCTTTTCCTGCCAATTTTAATTTAGTCCCTTATTTTCAGCATATCTGAATCACAGCCAACAGTGTTAGCCAAGTCATGAAAGAACAATGCATTTGATTAACCTGTTAAGCTGTTCAATGATTTTTACTCAATAATATTTAGTATTTTAAAACACATCCCATATGTCTTATTTTCTCAGGGATTAATATTTTCTCCACCTTTAAAATCTATATGAACCAACTTTATATTACTGTCACAGAGAAAAATACAGTTAGATCTGTAATCTTTCTGCAGGATTTGAGAATTGAGTGCAAGCTAGAAAAGAGAGGACTGAAATAGAAAAGAATTCCTATGTCTGCAGAGTCCAAATTGTTATCAGATTCTTCCCCAAAGCAATTGCAATTCTGACTATTTGCAGAAGCGAGAGGAGATGTCTTTTTTTAGCTCAAGCAATAGGCCATATTTTTCTTCCACTCACAAACATTATTATTAAGAACTTAGGGTGATATGATATACTGTGGTGAAGTTCCTATCATGGGAGATCAGGACAAATAAGCTCTTCACTGAATAGATGAAATTGAACAATCCTTATTAATTTCATTTCAGTTGCAAAAATAATTCAGCCTCTGCAATGATAAAAAAAAATCCTTCAACTTCATTCCATCCTCCATGCTTTTTCTGTGATCTTTAATCATAACTACAAAAGCTTAAGCAAGAGGTATTTATTCAAGAGGATATCTATTTTATTTTCTACAATCATTATGAATCAAAACAATGCTTCAATTCAGCAAAGTGAGAATCTTCAGTATGGCTCTTTTATACCTTGGGGAACATTATTTAATGAACATGGCAAGAGAGTACTAAATGAATTACAGTTGACAATATATGCCTAACCAGCCATTTAGAAATTTGTAATATGCAAGCAGAAGATTGTGGTTCAATCAAACAAGGAAACAAACATTCAATATGGGAATTAATTTCCACAGATACATATTAAATTTATACCGTGCAAACATGTGTTTGTTACTCTAGTCAAATGCTGATTGTACAAATACTGTACCAAAACTGAGTGTCTTGATTGTTCCATTGACTAATCAACTCGGTCAAAGTCAAAAATGACAAAAGTACATTTAGTAAGTCACATCCTGATCCAAAAAATGTTTTGGAAACACAAGTAGGTTTTTGTCTATTATACCTTTCGTTGCCCCTTCAAAATACTGCTCTTTAAAAAGATACTTATTTTGCATGTATAAATGAGGTCCCAAGATAGAAAACAGCAGCAATGAATAGTCTCTTAAAAGTAGCGATATCAATAGCACTTATATACCGCTTCATAGTGCTTTACAACACTTACTCTGTAAGTAGTTTGCAGAGTGAGCATATTGCCCCTAACAATCAGTCCTCATTTTACTGATCTTGAAAGGATGGAAAGCTGAGTCAACCTTGGGGAGGAACACCTAAATGTAAGAACTTAATTCAATTAAACACAATATCATTACCACATTCTGTGCTTTTCATTTTCCCTTTGATTACATTAAAAATTATGGGTTGGCAACAATTTCCCCAAAAGCTGTGAGGAGGTTTGAGGAGGTTGTACATGGCTCCTGTGGTCTCAGATTGCCTGTGTTAAGGCTGGGCATCTTTCAATCATGATTCAGAAAGATGCTTCAGATCTCATGCGAACTCAGCATTTCTCTGCTATTGATTAAGTCAGCCATGCCCTTTTTCAGACTTCTGAAAACCTGAAAAATGATTGTGTTGCTTTAAGGGATTCATTAAAGCAGCTTTTTTTTTAAAAAAAAATGGGCACATGAAGAAGCTGGGGGGGGGGAGATGTAGCTGTCTTAATGAACAGCAGAGAGGTGCTATGCTTGAGCAAGATCCAACACAGTTCTTTGAAATTGTGTTTGAAATCAGCATAGCACAGTAATAAGGCAAAGTAGGAAAGTTCATTTTTTAAAAATGTTATTCAGAAGCAGTGATTGGACTGGGTGAAAAAGAGCCATAGACAGTGCAGATGCCATCCATTTATGACTGCATGGGTAAATGAACCATTCAGATGAAACAAAAGAGAAGTTTCAGGGCAATTAGCAACCAACACAGGTTCTGTAATCAAAGTATAAAAGTATGTGAACTACTCCATAATTGTATGTAATGGTAGATTACACTGTTTTACAGTATGTATGAATATTATAGTCAATTACATACAAATAAAGGCTACATGTTTATGAATGTATTGAGACATCCAGCGATGACTTATTGAGCATATCTATTTAGGAAGATACTACCCACTACTTTTATTTTATGTGCCAAATTTGGATAGGGAATTAAATATGATAGATTTTTCCCTCTCCATATAATATTTTCCCATTGATCTGGAGGTACCCTAATCTACTATCACAAAATTAGGAGATCACAGGGACCTTGCAGGATAGAAGGAATTGTAGAATCTGACTTCCATCACCTTCTTTTCAACGAAGGCTTCAAAAAACAAAATGCTCTTAGATGGGCAATACTGAAGTTCTTTATTTATTTACTCTTTACTCGTCTTTATTCTTTATTTATTTATGGTTATAACCCTTTCCTACTTGTGGTAGAAAGACCACTTTAATTTGTTAAAGCTTTTTAAATGTCTGAGAAAAATCCCTCAGTTATATTCTACTCACAGTAAGGTTTTCTTTTCTCAATATACAGCAAAATCTTTTTATATACTTCCTATGAATTCCCATGACTTTAGCACCCAGATAAAATGTTTTGCGATCTTCACTTAGAATGCACAATTTATTTATGTATTTATTTCAATTATAGGCTGCCTGACTCCATTATCATTCTGGCAGCATACATACTAAAAACAATATAAAACACTTATGTATAGAGACACTAAAAAGTAAAGATATCTGAAAAAAAATAACAATATAAAAAGCCAACATTTTTTGTTGGAGTGTACATATTCCTTTGCCATTTATTGTGTTAGGATACTTTTTGGGAAGCAATATTAGCCAATTTGTGCTAAGCAGAAAATCTACAGATTTCAGTAGTAAATCATTTATTGTTAAGAATACAGTGAAACCTCATTTTAATAAACTAATTGGGGAAAGAGTGTCTGCTATTCATGAATATCCACTAAATAAGAAATTACACAATTTTCATCCATTTTTATTATTTACATAATTTGCAGAGCAATATACATTGCTGTGCAAATCTGGTCCATCACATATGATGTTTTTAAATCAAGATTTTAAATCTACTAAATCCGGGTATATTTAAATTTTAATTTGTAGAGGTATGGGTTCAGAATATACACACTGAGATCTTGAGTTTATTCTGATATTTCTAAGCAAATATGAAATTGCGCTTGTTGCCTGGATATATCACCCAGAGTTAAGGTCAACTCCAGCTTGTTTTTCATCATTTTTAAAATGAATAGGATTGAACAGTATACAGTTTTCTTAGAAATGTTTCTTTTTTAACTTCCAAAGAATTCTCAAGACTGTATCACAATTATCTTGATTCTGGTGCTGTAAAATGTTAATCCAGAGTAATAATTTAAGGTTCTAAATCAGTAAATATTTATGAAAGCTCTTAAAATTTTAAGAAAGCAATAATAAAACCCATAAAGCTGATTTGTACTCCA